CCTGAAGTACAACAAAAAAATAAAATAAAATGATAGGAAAAAATAAATTAAAAAAAAAAAGAATATAACTTTATTTTCTTCCAAATGGACAGACGTTTCCACGTGAGCCAGTCTGGAATACGATTATCTGCCAGGCTTAATCACTTGCAGCCCCACCAAATCTACTCCCTTGCTTCCACAGTGGCCAGCCACAGGGCTTTTCCTGGGTCTTCCTGCAGTGCCCGTCTGCAGCGTGGATGCTGACCAGGATAAGACTTGGAGACTCAGCCTGCATACCCCTGAAAGGCGGCCTGAGACAGGAGATGGTGTTCAGCTGGCAAGCAGGTCCTGAGGGTCACTGTTGCGGGGAAGCAGGTCACATGCCAGCCGTGCCTTCTGGTCCCGGACAGCCTTCAGGGCTGGGCTGTGTTGCAACAGAAGGGAGCAAATGTCCATGTGACCCTTTTCAGCAGCCTATGGAGAGAGAGGCCTGAATCAAAAGCCATACCACCAGTAAGCTGTGCTCCTTCTTGCTCCACTCCTGGGGACCTGTTGCTCCTAAAGAGGCCTAGTGGAAATGGAGACACTGGCTGTTTGTGTATATCCCTTCCCCACCCGCAGTTCCTACCCAATTCCAACACCTTGCATACAGATTGGTGGGGCACCCCGGTGCCATTCTGGCAGTTAGCCTGAGTTTTCCTTCTTGTGTCCTTTGCCCAGTGGCCATCCTTGTCTCAGCCAGGCCTGCACATTAGAGACCAATACACACCCACTACCCCTACTGAGCGTTTTGATCAAGAATCTGTATAGGAGAATCCTGATCAAAAGGGGTAAAACGTAAAACAGAACTTCAGATTCTCACAGAATCCAGATTTTCTGGAGCCATGGCGACTGGATGAACCCCTAAAACTACTGCCCTGAGATAATCTTTAAACATTAAACCAAAAATATCCCCCAAAGTCTTCCTAAAACCAAACAACAGTTTAGCTTAGCTAGTAAAGAATGTCTGCTGTGAGCACTGTGCTCTTTTATGATCTATATGGGATCAAACTGACAACAGTAGCTCAAAAGATGAGATAGGAAACTTGGAGGGTAGTGAGTTTGTTGACGAGGGAGGAACAACTCAGAAAAGGAGGGTGAGAATGGTTGTACAACTTGAATGTAATCCATGTCAGTGAATTGTACATGCAGAAATTATTGAATTGGTGTATGTTCTGCTGCGTATATTCTCAACAACAAAAAATAAATTATTTAAAATATATACATTATAAAATTGCTCTCTAAAACACCTGTTTCTATTTGAAACACCCAATTTATGAGAGTTTTAACTGCATAATTACCTTTGCAAGGTATACAAAGTATTATTTTTAAAATCTCTCTGCCAACTGAAAAAGCAGAAATCTTTCAATGTGTTTTTTTTTTTTAAATATTAAAGAGACGGAATACACCGCAAACATCCGCTCACTAAAACAAACATATACAGAACCACAGACATGCAAGCTTCTTTCACAAACATTCCCAGATCATCTACAAGGTGCGGGGCACGGGGGACACAGACTCATCAGACACGGCCCTGCCCCGTGGGTTTCTCCTCTTCTCCCTTACGGTGGATGATCCTAATCTCATGTCAATTTTTAACCTACCCTCGCCAAAAAGTAAGACTTAAGTGATTTACACATCATCTTATTTAACGGTCACAATAACCCTCAGAGGTAGGAACTATCATTATTTGCATTTTAGAGATGAACAAGCTGAGGTTTAGGAAACCCAGAAGCTTGCCAAGGTCGCAGAGCTAGTGTGGCAGCCAGAGGATTCGAAGCCAGGTCCATCTGACCTCCAAGTCTGAACTCTTGGTCGCCTGCTGTACCGCCATATCCCTGGTCCTCCCGACAGACAAAGCTGGTGGATTGCAAAGGCTTCTGAGAGGTAACAAAAGCATGTTATAACCGGCTCCACCTTTTACAAGTAGCAGATCTTTACTTAGCAGGTCCTCCTGATGAGTACAGACCGGAGGCTCTCAACTCTGTTAGTGGTTTGTGAGAAGTGAGGTGCATTCCAAATAACTTTTTTACAAAAAAATAAAGTACCAACATTCGCAAATAGTTGATTAAAAAAAGGAAGAACAATTCATATCCCTCACTGATGTGCATTCTAAGGCACCGCAGAGCGAGAGAAAAAGGGACAGAGATGCAACTAGAGTGCTGCAAACTGTGAGTAACCCCTGCCGGGTCGCCCACGGGCCGCGCCCCGCCGGGTCCGCCCACGCCAC